GGTCAAGTCCTAGACCTGAAGGCTTGCTTTCTCACTCTCTCGCTCTCTTTCTCTCTTTCTCTGTCAAGCACACATGCTCTATAGCAAACTTTAAAATAAAAAATAAAATTAAACAATTCTTAAAAAAAAAAAAAACACAAAAAGTCCCAATTGCAACATAAACACCTCCTCTGCACTCTTATCTTCTAAATACCTCCTGAAAGGTTCAGCCGCTGACAGCTGAAGAACTGGTCATCATGCAGACAGCCTAATCCTCTGCCCTCCTGCCCGGGCCAGGTGGAGCTGACAGCCTTTGCTAACGTGGGATATACAGGAAAACATGAAGATGGTACCAAGGCTTGGGGGCTGAGACAGTCCCTGAGATGGGAAAGTGTGGGAAGAGTAGCTGGAAGGCAGGTGAAGCTCAGGCTAGGTGTGAAGTATCTCAGCGTCCAACGGGTGACATGGAGCATGCAGGACGCTGGAGAAAGGAATTTGGAACCCCGGGGGTTCTGTCATCAATGTCAGATGTTTTTCACATTTAGGTCATATAGTCACCCAGAACTGATTTTTCAGAAATATTTTGTATAACATGAGGTTGATATTTACACTTATTTCCTTTTCTATATGGATAACGAATTGTTCCAGCACCATGTATTGAATGGCACATCCTTACCCACTGATGACCGTCATTCTCGTTTAGTTATCAAGTTTTCCAGTACGTGGAGGTCTGTTTCCTTTTTTTTTTTTTTTTTAATTACCAGTGTGTGTGAGTGCTTACCAGAGACAAAGAGACAGATGGGCAGAGGAATTTTGTATGTAGAGAACATGCAATCAGCAAACAGGGAAACCTTTCTTTTTTCCTTTCAGATCCTAATATGTTTTTTTCTTTAAAACTTTTCATTGTGATAGTCTGTGCATGTATGATGGAGAAAAAGTGAAAGACTGAAGCACCCTTATCTCATGCTACAATACCCTTCCTCCAGGACTCCAGCCCATCCGGATCCTGCGGACACACACACACACACACACACACACACACACACACTCAGTGTTTTCAGCTCAACCAGGCCAGGGACTGAGACCACAATCAGGATGTGACTTCCAGCTCCACAGTTCAGCCATCTTAAACCACCACACCACCAGCTGGCCCACATATTATATTTTGTTTATAATCATTGCAAAGAACAACTGTTGGTTTTTATCAAACGTCCTTTGGTTTATCTTGATTACTATAGTTTTTTTCTCCTTTTAAAGTGGTAAGTTAACCAGTTTTCTAATATTAAACCAACCTTGAATACTTTGATTGTTCAAGACACACAGTTGGCTTTCTATATCCATGGGTTTCACATTCAAGGGTTGAACCAACCATGGATCAAATATTTGAAAAAAGTTGGCTACTTCTGTCCTGAACATATGCCAACTTTTCCCATCATCATGATTCCCTAAACAATATAAGAATTATTCATATAGCATTGACGCTATATAAGCGCTTACAAATAATCTACAGATTATTTAAGTTGTACAGGAGGATGTGCATGGGTTATATGCAAAAACTATATAATTTTGCATAAGGCACTTTAGTATCCTTGGACTTTGGTATCTGTGGAGGGACCCACGATTAGCCTAGAGGATACCAAGAAACAACTGTATTATGTTTTTAGTTCATTTCTAAATACCTTTCTCAATGTTTTGTTTAGAAGTTTTGCATACATGTTCATGAGCAAGACTAGATGTGGTTTTCATTTCTTAATCTATATGAGATTGGCCATGAGCCTTCTTTACCTACACTGCTGCTGTATGATTTGGGTACTAACATTATGCTAGCCTCTTAGAGTGAGTTAGAGTATTCTCTACCTTTCAATGCTCCCAAGTCTGATTTAGCTGGAATGCACCTAAGCCTTGAATGTTTGGTAAAACTAACTAGTAAAGGCAGCTGTGCCTGTAATTTTATTGGTGGGGGGAGTTTAAACTACCCATTCAATTTAATGGGTTTTTATCATTTTTTTAGATTAGTTTTAGGAAATTCTATTTATCTAGGAACCTAAGTTCTCAAATTTATTGGCATGAGGTTGGTTATTTATTTATTTGGAGAGATTTTTGCTGTAGGGCCGCATGCACATGTGCCCGGCAAGGTTTTTTTTTTTTTTTTTGAGAGGTTTTTGCTATAGGGCATGTGCGCTCGCCAGAAAGAGAGACAGAAAGCGAGAAATCACCCCCCAGGGAGGATGGTCACGCTGCAATCCCTTCTCTTCCACTCTCCTCTCGGGATCTTGGGCACACACACACCTGCGCCCGGCGTGAGTTTCAAGCCACAGGGTCCAGGACGAGAACCACGGTCGAACACATGGGAATCCAGCAACATAACCATTACGCTGCTAGTCCTCACTGCCCAGCATGATTTTTAAGCCACTGGGTCTGGGACTCGAACTGCAGTCAACTACATGGGAATTCAGTGACATAACTGCTATGCCATCTGCTGGTCCTGGTGATTTTTTTTTCTTTTTTGATCCAGGGCACCACTGATAAAAACAACGACATCTCAGTTTATTCCTCTACTTTAAGTCTAAACAGAGATCAAATTCTCTGATAGTGTTATAATGCCTAAGTTCAGATAAACTTTTTGCTAAACAAAAATTCTGAAATATGTATTTATGAAGTAAATTACTGTCTTCGAAATTAAACAGTTCACTGAACAATTAAATATTTTCACCAGACATATTCACATCTAACAACTTCTACATATAAGATGCTCTCATTTTTCCTGTTTCAGTCTGAACATAGGGCTTTTAACTGGTACACGACACAAATTCTAATACGGATTTTCTAATTAGTTGTATGGATCTAGACAAACCATTTTAGAGCTTTGCCCTTATCCACATCAAACAAGAAAGATAATATCCTTTAAAACTACCTTTTAGGTAAACAGACGTAAGATTATGTGAAAACATTTTGCTAAAGTTGCTAAACAAATGTAAGGTAAAATATTTACCATATGAACTATTTTCTAATGTTCGACTGACGTTTTTATAATTTAACCAAAATAAAAATGGAACGTTTTCAGTTCTGAAAATGCAAAATTCAGTAGTTACGTAAGGTGAATTAAACTAGTAAAGCCAGTCCTAACAATAAATGCATTCATCCACATTCTCATGTCCTTATATTAAGAAATAATTATTATAAAAATAGATAACATTTCATTAAAATATTCCTATTTATTCTAGTTTAGGAGTTCTTGCCCATGTCAATGGACTGTCGGGCATCGGCCACTGCATCGGGTACTCGAACAGTCATATTGTCCACTGATTTTGTCAAACAGATTTGGCGGCCCAAACGTGATCTGTCTGTTAGCCCAAACGCCAGGTCAAGCATGTCATTCTCACCATCAGTGATTGGTTCTAACTTCTCGAATATGTGCTTTTCAAAGATGAGGTGACAAGTGGAGCAAGCCAAGGTCCCCTCACACGCACCAAAACCATCAATATCAAGATTATTTTCAACCACAACATCTAGCAGAGTGTCACCAACTTTTCCTTTGGTTGTTAATGTTTCACCATCATGGTTTATAAAGTGGATTGTTATCTATACAACTTGCTGAATTTGTTGTTTTCTCACAGAAAGCCTTATCATAAGTCCAGTAATTCTACTTAATCTGCCAAGATGATGTAATGATGTTTGATTTTTTAAGGTATATAAGGATCTCCTATTTTGGTGTCAGTCTTTCAATACAGTTTTGATTATGAGCAAAAAATAGATATTTCTGTCACTTTATACCTTAGGTATCTTTTAACTGAAGAATTTTTTCCAGATACATTCATTATGATTACTGGCATACTTAATTTTTTTCTATTTTATTATTTTAATATATACTATATTTTTTTATTTCTTCTTTTTCCCCTTCTTGCTTTCTTTTAGATTTAGGGTTTTTTTTTTCCATTTCTCATTCTGCTTTTCCATCTATAGATTAAAAGTTATAATACCTGTGCCTATTCTTTTAATGGTTATCCTAATCATGTTAACATATAGTCTATTTTTAAATTTAATTTTATTATTATTTTTCAATTTGACCAGAGAGAGAGTGAGAATGAGAGAGAGGGAAAGTGAGAAAGCCACTAGGTTCAGGACTTGAACTGCAGTCAGCCATATAGGAGTCCAGCACTTTAACCACCATGCCACCTGCCAGCCCAATTAATATATATTAATACCTTTTGTTACACATCAATGTGTAACAAAACAGAGTGGAATAAAATAACAAATTAATATTATCTCTCATGGGTCTACAGGTTAACCGGATTCAACTGAGTGGTTTTTACCTGACATGTTTCATATGATGGCAGTCAAACAGTGGCTATGGCTGGAATCATCTGAAGATTTAATGTCTAAAATGGCTCACTGATAAGGCTAGCAGTTGTTGGTTGGGAGCTTAGATGAGGCTGTCAAATATAGATCCTGCATGCAACTATGTGACTTGAGCTTTTGTCCATATGGTCTTTGGGTTCTGAGAGAGAGCATTCCAGGAAACCCAGTGGAAGTTGCAGGACGACTTTTTTTTTTTTTTTATTAAGAGAGATTTTTGCTATAGGGCATGTGCACTTGTCAGAGAGATGGAGAGAGACAGAAAGACAGAAAATGAGAAATCAACCCATGGGGGGACGGCCACACTGCAATCCCTTCTCCTCTATTCTTCTTTGGGGATCCTGGGCACTCACGCATACACATGTGGCATGAGTTTTAAGCTGCTGAGTCTAGGACTCAAACGAGGATCGACTATGTGGGCGTCCAGCAACGTAACCATTACGCATCTGCTGGTCCTAAGAAATCTTTTTGATCTGCATGTTGTTACAAGGCATAGAGACTGGTTCATCTCAGAGATTTTTTTTTTGCTACACTTTTTTTTTCCACTCTGTCACGAGTTGCCCATATCCTCACTACAAGTCTGATGAGGACAAACAAGTGCAATCCCTTCCTGGTATGTGATGAAAGTGAGAAACGCTCTTGAGCTTACATAGCTATGTACTTACAGAAGATAGATGATATTAAGCCTCCCAAACAGCTTCTGGGTAAATTTCCTAATGAGGTTTTTGATACAATAAATATCATGCGACTCTGTTCTTCGGCAGTGAACCACTTCTACTTTTCCTCTTGGAGAAGTAAGTACTGACATTTTTTATCCTGTCCCCGAAAGAGAGAAAACAGTTAGCTATTAATCTGAGATGACAAGCCAGTTTCGTCTATAGAGCTCACAAAGTCAGACATGAATCCCATGTCCATATGGTCAGGAGGAGTGTGGTATGGGAATGAGGGTGCAGCCCATTTCCCCCTGGGGTAGTGTGTGACAACTGTCACTGAAAGCCAGCTGACATGTTTCTCCATGGGAAAATGAAGTTTCCAAGAATTGGCTCGTCAGAGATTGCCGCAACTGTACTCTTTGTTTCCAACAAAGCTACCTTAAGTATTCTAACAATAGGAATGGAAAACATTGAAAGGACTTATTTACTCATTTAGCGTCCTCTTATATTTAATCGGCCACGATAGCACGTGGTTGAGTTACAGAGGAAGCACGGACAGCTGCTGTCCATGCTCAGAGTTCCCCAAACTTGAGCCCTGAAGGACCGCAGCCCTGAGCCATCACTGGAGACAAAATGTTCAAATAAGTGCGGGACGCAGCTCAGCTCACACTAGCCTGCCCCAGGGGGCCAAGCCCATCAGAGTCACTGAGCAGCTCATGACAGAATAACCTGCTTTCTTCATAAAAGCCAGCCTTTCCCACGTCTTTTCTGAGTAGTGTCTCTAATGGCAGGAACGGTGGATTCTCACGTTCCACAGATACTTTGGGAAATGCCGCCGACAGAAATGGTAGGGCCACGAGCCTGATTTTGATGTCTTGTGTCTCAATGTCTGCTGTCCCTCTCTTTTTCTCTCTCCCTCTCTCTTTCCCGCCATTCCAGGGGAAAATCAATGTATTACATGCTAGCCAATGAGCTCAAACAGGGCGATTTTTTCTCACCGTCGTTGCCTCTAAGAACAATATGGCCAACAAGCATATGGTGTAATGGTTATGTCACTGGACTCCACACAACCCACTGTGGTTCCAAGTCCCAGTGCTACCAGGCGTACATGCATCCAGCATGAGTTTTAAGTTGCCAGGTCCGGGACTCAAACTGTGGTCGACTATGTAGGAGTCCAGTGACTATAACTATTACACCATCTGCTGGTCCCAGTTAGTTCAAGGTTTTCGTTTCAATCTGGCACTAACACATCTCTGGCCACATCACTGAGACTGCCTATTTGCCTAAATAAATGGGCAGATAACTCAGGTTTGAACAAACTAATTTTTTTTTTTAAGAGAGATTTTTTGCTAAAGGGCACATTGCTCACTGGAGAGACAGAGGGAGATATAAAGACAGAAAGAGAGAAATCATCCCCAGGGGGTTGGCCACGCTGCAGTCCCTTATCCTCCATTATCCTCTCAGGATACTAGGCATGCACACATGCCTGGCATGAATTTCAAGCTGCCAGGTCCAGGACCTGAATCACGATCAACTATGTAGGAGTCCAGCGACCTAACCATTACGCCATCTACTGGTTCCAAACTGTGAATTAAATACGGGACCAGCAACTGGCATGGTGCTTAAGGGGTTGGACTCCCACATAGCTGACCATGGTTCGAGACCTGGGCCTGGCAGCTTGATTTCTAACTTTCCTTTTCTCTCTCCCTCTGTGTCTCTCTAGTGAGTGCATGTGCCCTATAGCAAAAATTTTAAATAATAATAAATTAAATAAATAATTTTTTAAAAGGTCACACTAGATATTGAAGTTTGAGCCAGATTTAACATTCATGTTTTAGAAACGCATCTGAACCAAAGTAGCTGTGACTATTTAACTCCTAGGGAATCATTTCAGTCATCCCTTTTCCATGCATGCTGTACTCTCTGGTGTCGGACTAAATTTTCAGTATCATTTCTGTGTTAAAAAAAAAAACACTTGGAACCAAGGGGTTTTTAATGAAGATGAAGACAGTGAACCAGAGAAGATGCCTCCAGAAGCAGAGATGAGGATGAAGAATATAGGAAGGGTCACACCAACGTCAGGCGGACCAATAGCCTTCAATAAAGGACAGCACAGGTTTTCTGACAACCAGAAGCTATGGGAGCGAAATATGAAATCTCATCTTGCAAATGTCCATGACTAAGATGATGAAATGTTTTGAAATCGGGGGTAGGATGGGTATCGACTTAAAAGAACAGTTTCCTTTTTAAAAGAGTTGGTATAAAACTATCTTTAGAGCTGCCTTTTGTTCCTTTTTCATTTTCTTTTTAAGATTGAGTGGTACACTAGTAAATGAGAGTTTGAAATTATGTTTTATAATGAGAGTTTGAAATTTATGTTTTATATGCAGATTTCAAGACATGACTAATTTTGTAGTTTCATGTGATTAGTTTCCAAAAGTTACAGATAATAAATCAGAAATGGTATCTTTTTAAGAATTTAGACACAACTTTTAGCACATTAAGAGGGAAGCAAAAAGTTATTGTCTATTTAAAACTGCGAGCAGTTGGGGCCAGCAGGTGGTGTGATGGTTAAAGGCACTGGACTCCCACATGTCTGACTGCAGTTCAAGTCCTGGACCTAGTGCCTTGCTTTCTCACTTCTCTCTCTGTCTCTGATTAAACTGGAAAATAATAATAATAATGATAAAGTTAAAATAATTCTTTTTTTGGGGGGGGCGGAGAGGTTTTTGCTATAGGGCATGAGCGCTTGACAGAAAGACAGAAAGAAACACAGAAGAGAGACAGAGAGCAAGAAATCACACACACCCCCCCCAAGGGGGGATGGCCACGCCGCAATCCCTTCTCTTCCATTCTCTCGGGATCTTGGGCACACATGCACACGTTCCCGGGGTGAGTTTAAGTCACCGGGTCCAGGACTCAAACTGCGATCAACTACATAGCCATTATGCCAACTGCTGGTCCCCAAAGTTAAAATAATTCTTTAAAAAAAATAACTGCAAGCCGTAACTCAACCTTAACTCCCTCATTACCTAAACTGTCTGGCTCCCAGGAACAGCCTTATAGAGAGAGGGAGTACTGTATTGAGAGGTACATGTTACTGCACTATTGACAGAAACTAAATTTAGTTTCTAGTTTTAGTCCTTATACATTTGTTTTGTTTCTAGTCATCATAAACTAGGTATTGCATTGCTATCAGTGAATATAGAAGCTTAGCTCTTTTAAAAAAAATAAAAATTTTATATAAATTAAATATTTCAAATAGGCCACTTCACCTTAATGAGACTTGTCTACCTTCATTTGTCTTCAATGAACAACCATTTGCTACCACAGTAAATCAGGATTTTGAATGTGCTTCTTTTGGTTTGGTTTATTAGCCAGGTCCTGTAAGCACTTCCAACAGAACTGGAGGCAAATCATAAGGAAGCTGTTTCTTTTAAAATAAAAACCACCACCCAAAATTTCCATATACATATATATTTTTTAAGCATTTGGCTATTTTCTTTTTAAAAGGTATAAACATCAAAAAGAAAATTTACCATTGTATGAAGATGGAAACAAGATTACTTTCTGTAACTTTGTATTTTAAATTATTAACGTGTGAAATCCAATCTGAACTGAATTTCCTACAGGATTTCTTATTGGTACATGTACATGGCTTATTTTACATATATATGTATTGACAGTGGCCTCTCAAAAGCACACTTTAGGTACTGAAAATGGAGAGAAAATGCATCTTCAAACATACTTTATGGAACTTCTCACCACATACACTTGTTAGGTTTGTGTATAATGTAATATTATTATATAGTGTTTTTCTATTGTATATGAATTTTCTCTTTAATATGAGTTATAAGCATCTTTAAAAGCATGGTCACAGACTAAAACATATAGTGTGTAGTGATTTCCCTGAAAACTCCTACAATGTTCAATTTGGAGGTAGTTTGAGACTATTATATTGGTCATAACTAATAGCTGAACTTTTTTTATTAGGTAGTAAATCCAGAGAAGCAGCCTATGTATATTCCTAACACTTGGTTCACTTGCATTTAAGTTTAGAATAAACCCCAGGTAAAATGTAAAACAATGGAAATACATATAGAACTATTAGTGTTTACCTGATTTAATTATGTCAAGATACAGGAATTCAACTTTAACTTTCATTTAGGTAGATGGTCCATTTTTGTCCATTTTATTGTGTGTTAAAATAACATCCCTCTCCTACATTTTTTTCTTGACCCAAATGAAATATTAACCTAATGGTCAAGTGGGAGAGAAAAGTGACTGAAACAAATGCCTTTACTAAAACACCAATAAATTTGTCAAACTTAAAAAAAAAAAAAAAGAATGAAAAAATTACCACTGAAAGAACCTGGGTGTGGGGCCAGCAGGTGGCATGGTGGTTGAGGGTGCTGGACTCCTATATGGCCGAGCACGCTTTAAATCCCAGACCTGGCAGCTTGCTTTCTCACATCCCTCTCTCTCTCTCTCTCTCTCTTTCTCTCTCATGCATGCACACTATTACAAAAATAAATAAATAAAATTTTAAATGAAAAAATCACTTATGAATAAGATATGAGCTCTGATTCAGAAAGTACACAGTCTAATAGAGGGAAAAATATGCAAATATTTATATTACAATTAAACCAGTAGTGTTAGAGGTGTGTATAAGAAACTATACTGAAAAGGCTATTAGGGCACAGAAATGTTAAGTAATCGGCTACCTAGGAGTTCAGCGACATAGCCATTACGCTCGCTAACTGCTGGTACCCCTCTCTCTATCTCTCTCACTCTTCCTCTCTGGTCAAATTTAAAGCAAATTAATAAATAAATAAAGTCAAATAAAAATAATTCTTAAAAAAGAAAGAATCTGGGTGCAAAAGCTAGGAAAATGTATTTCAGGAAGAATACATTAAAATCAGAGGATGTAGAATATAACATAAACTGCTGGAGGATTAAAAAAGTAAATGCGCAGGTTTATCTAAATAAGTATTTCTGGCAAAAAAGAAAAATAGCAAAGATGATTTTTTAAAAGCTAAATTGGGGCCAACAGATGTAGTACCGGTTATGTCACTGGACTCCAATATGGCTGACAGTGGTTCAAATCTCCGACTCAGTGCCTTGAAAATCATGCCGGGCATGTGTGCATGCATGCCCACGATCCCAGGAGGAAAATGGAGAAGGAGGTATTTCAGCATGGCCATCTCCCCTAGGGGGTGATTTATTTCTCACTCTCTCTCTCTCTGGCAAGTGCATGTGCCCTAAGATGAAAACCTATAAAAACAGAAAGTACAAAAAGCTGAACTAAAATTACCAGACAATTAAAAAGAGGTGAATTAAAGGGCTGGCAAACAAAATTATTCTAAGGTGGGTACGTGTCATTATACATTTGCCCAAATTTGTAGAATGTACGACACTAACAGTAACCCGTACACAAACTATGAACGCTAGGCGATAATGCTGTTATGTAGATTCGTGAGTTGTAAAAATGTACTACTCTGGTGGGGGATGTTGATAGTAGGGAGGCTGTGCATGTGTGTACGCGGCTGTGTGTGTGTGTGTGTGTGTGTGTGTGTACATTCAGTGCTCTGGGGGTTGGGGAAAACCTGTATCTTTGCTGTTAACATAAAACTCCAAAAAACTAAGCCTATCAAAAAAAAAAAAAATCATCCTAACGACCACACATTTGATGAATGTATTTTTGCAGGCAGGCCAAGTTTTATACCACCTAACATAACCGCAGCATTTCATTTAGGTGTTTCTCTTTAACGCTAGTCACAGATATACTATCCGGGATTTGTAGCTGACACAGAGGCTAAGAGAATTTAAGTAATTAGGACACACTTAAAGAGAATTTAAACATTTCTTTCTTAATCACAAGCCAGAGTGGTTTGCTAGTTTCTCAGCTCATTTACGTTCATTTTTTCCCCTTTACTATCTGGCTTCAAAACACCGTAGGTTCTTTTTCTTTCTTTCTTTTTTTTTTTAAAAGAGATTTTTGTCGCAGGGTGCATGCCCTCTCCAGAGAGACAGAAAGTGAAGGGAGATGGCCACGCCGCAACCCCTTCTCCTCCATTCTCCTGTAGAGATTTTGGGCACGCACGCACACGCGTGCAGGGTGGATTTTGCGGGTCCAGGACTCGAACCTTGATTAACTACTTAGGAATCCAGCATCGTAATCACTACGCCATCTACTGGTCCCAAGATCCATTTTAATTCCATGCCTAGAGTTGATTACTTGGGAGGCCGTGCGGAAGCGGGAACCGGGCGGCAGACCCTCAGGGTCGACAAAGCCAGGAAAGCTCTAGGGCGCGGGCACCCCAGGGGCGCGGCAGCCCCGGCCTGCTCTCCTCTCCTCGCCGCCCTGGCCCAGCCCAGCGTCCCTGCTGGGCCGCCGCGATACCCACCTCGCCCGTCACTCGGCCAAGCTGCGCTCCGAGCCGAGGGGGACGCGCAGGCGGTTGCCACGGAGACGACGCTGCTCCGTCACGGTGCGTGCTGGAGGCCGAAGGTTAGGCCGGCGAGTTCCGCTTCCGGTTCCGGCATCCCGGTTGTTGTCGGAAAGATTTGTGGCGCTGCGGTGGTCGGGGCGAGTTTTTCGAGGGCGCAGGCTGGGCGTGG